ATATATATATATATATATATATATATATATATATATAAGAAGTACAGGAAACAATGATAAGAGAGCATGCAATAAGAACCATTAAATAATTTACCTGCTTTAGCCTGTGGCGACTTTTGACATATGCAATGTAGTGACCACCCGAAAGACTGCCAGAATGTACTACCACACCATACAGCGAATACAACAAACGTTTCTCTCCCGGAGCTATACGCTAAAGGTAAACATTTTTAATGCTTAAAGCAAGTCAGTGAAACCTTACTCTAAAAAGATCTCAGAATTTTTCCATATGAACAATGATAATTAAGCTGATGCATATGGACAACAATATACTTTCCTCAAATTTCAGATTAATGCAGTAAAAGGAATAGATTTATGGTCATTAGGACCGTGAAGTCTAATCCACTACGCTGTCATTTATCGCATAAACATTACGTTGTTGATAACTAGGCATCAATCGGACGCGTCAAATAAACATAGTTATTGAGATCTAATCAATTATAGAGTATTAAAGCGTAGAATTAATAGAGAGCTTCAAACCTCGACATTTCTGCAGCAGAATGGAGCCATATCAAACATGAATGGAAAGTACACATGCCCGCTTAACTTCCTTGCCGACATTTTTCCTAGAAACTTCGCAATTATGCACAGCATTCTGAACTTAAGGACGTAACCTCTATAAGAAAAAGCACGCCATAATTACGTTACCTGTAAGTCCTTCCAGTTGCTGGAATCTTTTCAAGTGTAGGGTGAGGACGGCAGGAGGCTCGAATATTAAATAACGTTTCAGAGCAGAAACGCGTTTCTTCTTACTGCCAACAGCATTCATCTTCAAAAGTTTTTTCTTTATTGAAGATTATCCAAATGATAAATTACCTTTTTATTACGCGGAGCACAGCATTTTTCACACTCGTAAGCATTTGCACCTTGGAGTTCTTCTGGAGCAGTAAACTCTAGGAGACATGATCCTATACTGCAGACACCATCTTTGTACTCTTCTGGAGGGCGAACAAGGACCTTCTCAAAATAAGTAAACCTTCACCTGCTCAAAAGGGAAAAAAA